TTAAAAGGTAAGTTTTAAGCCCATAGGAACACATTGAAGGGGTTTCAATGCATTCCTATGGGCTTTTAAAATCCGCATAGTGACGAATCCGTATAGTGGTGATTTTTGCTGCACGGATTATCGTCGCTATGTGGGGCACCACTGTATTATTATTATTATTATTATTATTATTATTATTATTATTATTATTATTATTATTATTATTATTATTATTATTATTATTATTATTATTATTATTATTATTATTATTATTATTATTATTATTATTATTATTATTATTATTATTATTATTATTATTATTATTATTATTATTATTATTATTATTATTATTATTATTATTATTATTATTATTATTATTATTATTATTATTATTATTATTATTATTATTATTATTATTATTATTATTATTATTATTATTATTATTATTATTATTATTATTATTTAAAAATACCAGGCACAAAATTATAAAAATGTTGACTTGTATTATATAACAAATACAGGGTTTAACCAGAAACTTAAGTATCTGTTAAATATCAGTGTAGTATATACAGGCGTACGAATTTAATGCATTCTACGGGACATTACATAATGCAAAAAATTCATAAACTGAAACGCGGATTGCCATAGGAACAGGGGCAGCGCTATAAACCTCCAAGCACAGTGCATCCTGGGGGAAAGGTAAAGGTAAAGGTTCCCCTTGCAATTTTTGTCCAGTCATGTTCGACTCTAGGGGGCGGTGCTCATTCCCATTTCCAAGCCATAAAGCCAGCGTTTTTGTCCGAAGACAATCTTCCGTGGTCACATGGCCAGTGCGACTTAGACATGGAACGCTGTTACCTTCCCACCGAGGTGGTTCCTATTTATCTACTTGCATTTGCATGCTTTTGAACCGCTAGGTTGGCGGGAGCTGGGACAAGCGACGGGCACTCACTCCGTCGCATGGATTCGCTCTTACGACTGCTTGGTCTTCTGACCCTGCAGCACAAAACTGAGGCATTATTTTCAACGGCTTTTGCTTCGTAAACCGAAAATTATGTTAAACAAGGCATTTGTAAACTGAGGTACCACTGTATGCTGTTCCTGATACTGCAGTTTTTTGCAGGTCTGATGATGTTATTTCAGAAACCTGCAACTGCTTTTATAATACTATGTGAAATTTCTTCATATTGTTCCCAAAGCCCAATGGCAATGGGGACTGCTGAAGTGTATTTCATCCCCTATTTCTATTTCTATTGTTGTTATTAAAGTTATGAGTATCAGAGGGTGTGCTTGTGTGGTGACTAAGTTATTAAAGTGATGAGTAACAACTTCCATTTATATCAGAGGGTGTGCTTGTGTGGTGACTAAAACTGTATTTAGGCCCTAGGTATCTGCATTATGTTTTCATCATGTGGCATCTTATGGCTGAGAGTGTGACTATCCCAAAGTTACCCAGTGATTTTAATGACTGAGTGGCGGTTTGTACCCAGTCTTATAACTTCTATTCAGCATTTTAACTAGCACAACACACTACACTGGCTCTCTATTTTCTTTCTTTTCTGTCTTCCATCATTTTGTGTTTTATTGTGAGGACTTCAAATAATCCAGTTTCTCATTACAAGGTTTTAGGCTAAGCATTGTTTTGTCATGTAACTGTCTTTTCATGTGTCTTTTCCACAGTGGCCTGACTCCACACAAACAGAGCAGAGGAAAGCCTGCTCTTGCACGGGTTCCTTTCTTGGATGGTGTAAATGGAGACTTAGAATACAGCAGCACAGGTAGGAAGCTCTTTCTCTCTCTCTCTCTGTGTAATGCAAAATGTGCTGCTTTAGTCCATACTCCTAATCTGTGGATACCATTATTCTTGTTGCTTATGCCACTGGTTCTTAACCTTGGGTTACTCAGGTGTTTTGGACTGCAACTCCCAGAAGCCTTCACCACCAGCTGTCCTGACTGGGGTTTCTGGGAGTTGCAGTTCAAAAGCATCTGAGTAACAAAGGTTAAGAACCACTGCACTAGAGCGCTGGTTCTTAACCTTTGTTATTCAGATGTTTTTGGACTGCAACTCCCAGAAGCCTTCACCATCAGCTCTGCTGGCTGGGGTTTCTGAGAGTTGCAGTTAAGAACCACTGGCTTATGCTAATAAAGATTTAGGCTGTAATCTTTGCATTCTTCTATGGGAATAGGCATGATTGAAACTTGCTTCTGAGAAAACTCAAGTTTGATAATTCCAGATTTTTCAGAATGTTATATAATTATATTCAAATTAAATTTGTATATTATATTTAAAATTATATTTAAAATTACATTGGATAAAAATGTTGAACCACTGGCTTATGCTAATAAAGATTTAGGCTGTAATCTTTGCATTCTTCTATGGGAATAGGCATGATTGAAACTTGCTTCTGAGAAAACTCAAGTTTGATAATTCCAGATTTTTCAGAATGTTATATAATTATATTCAAATTAAATTTGTATATTATATTTAAAATTATATTTAAAATTACATTGGATAAAAATGTTTTCTCATACAGCAGAATTGGAATTTTCATGATGCATATTTTGCTGGGTTTGCGGAAGTGGCTTAGTGTGTGCATGTTCAAGAGGGGAGAAATGCTGTTATTACGGATTTTATCTATTAATTCCACTATGACAGTGTTTCTCAGCCTTGGGTAACCCAGATGTTCTTGGACTGCATTTCCCAGGAACCCCAGCCAACACAGCTGGTGGTGAAGGCTTCTGGGAATTGCAGTCCAAGAACACTTGGGTTACTCAAGGTTGGAGACCACTGCACTATGATCTTGCTTTAAGGAACGGTCTTGTATTGGAGATCTGCCAGGGAAAGCACTTTATAATTCATGAAAAGCCATGCAACAGTGGCAAAACAGTTGAGATGCTGCCTTTATGATGGATAGGTTTGTACCACGCCTCATTTTGCGCCAGCAGAAGGGTTGGAGACATGGAAAACTTAATAAGCTAAGGTATAATTATCCTTCTTGCCCTCACACAACTACTAAGAAGGGGCATACTCAGGATGCAGAAGTGTGATGGGTGCTGCCTTCGGCTTATATGAGATACTCTGTTGGGAATGGACAATAGGACAGGGTTAAGTGAAGGATTGGGGTGACAAAGAGGTTTGAAGAAGAGGAAGGTGATTGAATTCTCCTGGGAGCCACCTGACAGAGCTGTCCTCTTCAGCAGATAGCAGGAAAGATGGATTGTTTGCATCTGTTGTCAGAGAAGGGGATGGCCCAAAAAGGAATGGTTGGCCTATGTAAAGGCATCCCTGCTGATTGGCATGTGCTCAAATGTGTATATGGGGGAGGGCTGGATTGGTTCCTAGTGTGGAATTGTTACCTGGGTTTTAACCTAGCAAGGCCTTCTCTTGTAGCCCTACTGTTCCTGGCGTCTATACCTCAAATGCTGATGAGAGGAGAAGGAGTAGGACAAATGCTCTGTGATGTATCTGAATGGCTAAGGAACTGCTCTGTTGAGCTTATGGTGCGAGTTGAGTTTGAATTCCTGGGAGGACCTATTTTATACCTGACATAGTTCTGTGCCTGGCAGACCGAAGATATGGGGGGACATGTCACGGTTTGAACTTCTCCCCCCCCACACACTCCCAGTTTTAATTTTGTCAAATATTTGCCCCTAAATTGTCAAGCTGGTCTCTATAGGGTTTTTTTAAAGCCCATTTTTTGAATGGTCTTAAAAACAAGTCTGGTGGTGATGGGATGCTACAAAATGGCAAGGTTTTTTCTCCAGTTTGTGGAGGGCATGTTGTGCCAGAGTGTGTCAGGGAGGCTGGGATTTCCCCAAAGTTGTCAGTATCATTCTTCAAGATCCCAGGGGGAGGGATCAGTCCCCATACCTCTGCAAGTTACCCATTCATTCCCTGTAGAGTGAGCCACTGGTGATTGTGCTTTTTGTTCCTTTGATTGATATCTCAAATGTGTCTTCACCTCTTTGGCAATTGAGGAACAATGTGGTTTTTCCCCTGACTGTTGTGACTTTTTCCCCTATCAGGACTATGTAGAGTCTCTGCAGGTGACCTGCCAGGAAGGTAGCTATGTAGGCGCTGTGATGTGTGACGTCTCTTTCCTTTCCTTATGTTGTGCTCCTAATACAGTACTTGTGGGGAAGAAAAGAAAATCCTTAGATTTGCACTTATTTGAAGAAGAAAAAACACTGTCAGCATGGAAGATCATAATTTAAGTTAGTTCTTATTATGACTTCTTAGGTAGAAATCTACTGATGCCATTTGAGGAGCATGCTGAATTAGAGCCTCTGGAGCTTGTGTGGGCAAAGTGTCGTGGGTACCCATCTTACCCAGCATTGGTATGTATATCTGGTTCACAACCTGCCTTCTTTCCAGGGTGGACATTTTGGCAACTAAAGTTTTAGTACTAACCTTACAATGCCGTTAAGGTGTTATACTCAATATGCCAGCAAGTTTGGAAAACTCAGCAGTGGCCAGAGGATTGGAAAAGATCCGTCTACATCCCAATCCCAAAGAAGGGCAGTGCCAAAGAATGCTCCAACAATTGCACTCATTTCACACACTAGCTCAAAATCCAACAAGTAGGCTTCAGCAATATGTGGACTGAGAACTCTCAGCTGGATTTTGAAGGAGCAGAAGAACTAGAGACCAAATTGCTAACATGCGCTGGGTTATGGAGAACAAACCTATCCATGTTGAAGGAAATCAATCCTGAGTGCTCACTGGAAGGACAGATCCTGAAGCTGAGGCTCCAATACTTTGGCCATCTCATGAGAAGACTCCCTGGAAAAGACCCTGATGTTGGGAAAGTGTGAGAAGGCACGACAGAGGTTGAGATGGTCGGACAGTGTCATCAAAGCTACCAACATGAATTTGACCCAACTCCGGGAGGTGGTGAAGGACAGGAGGGCCTGGCGTGCTCTGGTCCATGGGCTCACGAAGAGTCGGACATGACTTAATGACTAAGCAACAACAACCTTACAATAAAGGACACACTGTGCAATGTAGTTGATAGAGTGACAGACCTAAATTCAGAAGGCCTGGGTTCAAATCCCCTCTCTGCCATGGAAATTCACTGGGGATATGGAACTGGTTAAAGAACTCCTTAAACATCTCACTTTCCTCAAAAGCCCTATTAGGGTTGCTGTAAATTGATTCTGACTTGACAGCACATAACATAGAGCTTTCAGCACAGTTGTTAGGAAAAGAAGGTATCCTCAGGAAGAACTGTGAACAACACTGATGTCTTAGTTAAGATGCATTCTCGAAGGCTATCATGGCCAGGATCTGATGGTTGTTGTAGATTTTTCGGGGTGTTTGACCGTGTTCTGGAGGATTTTCTTCCTAACGTTTTGCCAGTCTCTATGGCCAGCATCTTCAGAGGACAGGGTATCCCACACACTACACCAGAACACAGACAAAGTTCTAACCCCTGTCTTAGGATATATATAATACAGATAAGCTGTGTTCTCTGTACAGTTTAAAGCTTAATCTGCATCTGTTTTCTAGAATGGTTTCCAGTTTTACATCTCCAGACTCCGCACTACTGCTTGTGTTAATTAATTAACTGTAGTACTCCACTCCTACTACCTCATTCTTCTTCATTGTCTTATGGCTCCATAATACAGCCAGTCTAAATGCTCAGACAGTTGTAAAATGGGTTCATTTATTAATATTTTAAAGCAAGACTTCCCATTCCACCCTGATAAATCAGAAGATTGCTGTCCATTTTCCCACCCTGTCTCCAGTAGCTTTAGATACTATAGAACTTTGGACTGGATGTCTTTGGACTGAATATGTTGAGTGTTTTCTGTATACCTTGAACTGTGTTTAGATTATTGATCCTGAGATGCCACGAGAGGGTTTGCTTCATAATGGAGTCCCAATTCCCGTTCCACCGCTGGAGGTATTGAAACTAGGAGAGCAGAAACAAGCGGAGGCTGGGGAAAAGCTTTTCCTTGTCCTTTTCTTTGACAACAAAAGGACATGGTGAGTAAATGTTTAAGAATAAGATGAAGAACAATTGAAGCATGCAGAAGGTGTGTGTGTGTGTGTGGGGGGGCATGCAGAAGATGTGTGTGTGTGTATGGGGGGAGATAATAGATTATGTGACCACATTGCAGATATCTAGATATACCATTACATAGCTTCCTTCTCCTGGAGAACTTGCATGCTGCTGCAATACTACTAGTGAGATATACTTATGAGTTATTGTTGCAATTAAATGAATAGTAATAAAAATTTGTGTAAATTTTCAAATTGGCTGGATCTGTTTATTTGGCAGAAGATATTTAGGCTCAAAGTAATTACAAATATATTTCCTTGTGTTTTGTTATACACTGCATAAATAATTTTTGTCTGCTTATGTGTTCCTGAACTGCAGGCAGTGGCTTCCACGAGAAAAAGTTCTTCCCCTGGGAGTGGATGATACAGTGGATAAATTAAAAATGATGGAGGGACGAAAAACAAGCATCCGCAAGTCTGTCCAAGTTGCATATGACCGTGCCATGATTCATATGAGTCGAGTGCGGGGAGATCATCCTTTTGTCACACCAAATTATCTCTAGGGACTGAAACTGTTTTCTTTGCCCTTCTTGCTTTCCTTGGAAACAGTGTCTGCATCTGTAGGCATTGTTGGCGCCATGGGTCTTAGTGTAACTGAGCAGTACGGAGCTTCTCCACTGCCTAGAGGAAGATGTAACTGCCATGCTTGTTTCTATTCAAATCAGAGGCGCACTGCTCCTGGTGTTAGGAGAAGGTTTCTGAAAAGTACCTGATCTGTGCCAAAACCCCTGCCTTGGTTCTTTCAGAATATGCTTCTCTGAAGGGCCAGCAATGTCATGGAGCAGTGCAGTGTATGCTGTGGGCTTGATAGAACCTTCAGTCTAAAAAGCTGAGCTTGTTTGCTGATTGGACTAGAAGGTCCACAAGTCTTTAGTTTTGTGTTTTTTTTTTAATCTTCAGCTAGTCCTGGAGAATCTCTGGAGGCTGCCACTGCTATAAAGAACTCAGTATCCTTTTAATGCCTTCTATGTGCCAAATTTACTGTATTCATCATACTTTTTCATTTTATTTTTAAAAGCACTGGTTTGCTCCATTGCATTTATTCATTTATACCCTAGTCTAGAAGTTTCATGCCTACGTTTATGTACCTGATGTTTATGTTTAGTCTCACCTGCAGGAGAAATAGAGTCAATATTTTAGTGAGTTTTCTCTTTACCTCATTCTTTCTTACACTGAGTTTTAAACATGAAGAAATCACCTCTAAAATGTTTTGTTTTACATTTATGAAGTAGTTTTTACATTTCAACTGCAGTTTCAGGTTAAAATATTGAAGTGGGCACAACAGTCTTTCAAAAGTTTTACAAAGGCCTAACCTGCTAGAAAAATGTTACTTAATGCAAAGTTTTGTTAGGGCATGTGGCAAGAGAAAGCTTTTTCAAACCTCTGGCCCCATCAACCCAATTAAAAGACACTATATACAGAGTAGGAGCTGCCTTAATCACTTTGGTACATGGAGAAGATACCACCACCCTGAAGCTGAATGATTGTTGAATGCAGAAGCAACCTCTTGCCTGTGTAGAGAGTGCAGCAGTTACAGAGAGTGCACTGGTTCCACATGCACACCTGCACCCGGTTGGACCAGGACTGCTGTGCACCAGATTCTATATGAAGAGCTCCTTCCAGCTTTGTGTGGTATATCTTGAAATAGAATACTATGTGTACATTGAAGTGTGCTGCTTTGAATCAGGGTATCAGTGTCAAAGTGACAATTTCTCTTTACCCTGGAAAGTTATCCTAACTTGTTTTAGGCTGAGTTGGAATGTTGTCTTACCTTCATGCTCACCAGAATACTTTGCAGTTTCGCCGTTTGCATTACCGTAAATAATTCATTATTTCCTGTTCTGCTGCATGAGCCCCCATTATTGGGATCTTTTAATGAATAGAGCACAACTCCTCAGAGAATCTTATTTTTAATGTATATGTGCTGGAAAAGCAAGAAGAGCTGAAGTTTGCAAGATGAAAAACATTTCATGTTTGAATTTTGATTTAAGGATGGGTATTTTCTTTTGAAACATTATGAACCAAAAGTACAGAGCAAGATTGTAATTTGAAGAGATCATTTTTTTTTCCTTTTAAACTCAATTTTTAAAATTGTTTTATTTTTTCATACTAAAGAGATAATGGAACAAAATGTTAATAGGGAAAATCACTGCCATTTCTGTGTGATGTACTTTTTTAAAAAGAAAAGTACGGCATCTTATATATTGGGACATAAAATGACACTTTATGGAAAATATCTGTAAGGTATAAAGAAAATAAATGGGAGTTTATATATATATATATAGTTAATTATGCCTGAAGAGTGTGGTTATGTAAGGAAATGTGTACATAGTTGTAAAATACAGTTCTAAATTATTCAGGCCAATTGTAACCATTCTTGAAGTCCTCAGATGTGTTGCTGGGTCTTTTGTATGCACACAGTGTAATTAATTTAAAGCAACATACACTTTTCCCAGATTGTAGCTCAGCTGTGGACTAGTGACCTATGTATAACTGTTTTAATTTTTTCATTTTTAAAAAATTACATTTTAAGGATTTGAATCAGTTAATATCCTGCTATTGCTATGGGACCTAAACGTGACTTGTCAGTCTGCTGTAAAGCACAGATGGCTCTATTTATTGTAGAAAGTGAGTTTATTGCTTTCTATAACTGTTTATATCAGATGATGTAAGAGTTAATAAAATCCTATGCTTGTAAAGAAAAAAAATGCTAATTTTACCTGCTATAATCTGACTGTCTGAAACTATATTTTCTCTTTGAGAAATAAATGTTCTAATGTAAAATTCCTGATTTAATTGTTTTAGTCCAAGAAGATCACTGGCTCAATCAAATCTGATGATTTACCAGTTTCCCTAAGTCCCAAAGAATTCAGTAGCTTTCATAAACTTTTTCTGGAGTATCTCTCCCTCCATCTGTTTCCCTTGTTTTAATTTCAGGCTTGGCAGAATATTGAAAGATTTCTTGATATAAGCAGGTGGGACTTCTCAATTAGCATAGAAAAAGTGGAAGACTTAATTCAGTGTGGGAGCATTGAAAAGATAGGAATGGAAAATACAATATCTATCAAGTTGTGTGTGTGGGAATCCCTCCTCTTTAGTTTTTATGGTGTGTGTGTGAACGAACATACAGGCTTTTGATCCACTGTGAGAACTTGAACATGTGGATAAGTAGTTTCTGTTCCCAATGCAATATTATTCATACCAAGTTTTCCACTGAATCATATTCACAAGTCTTTTGAAATACTGGCAATCATCCTATAGTAACCTATGATTGTTTTAGATACAGAGTAGACTTACATAATACATATCTTCACTTTTGTCTGTTAATTTCAGTAAATTGGTCCTCAAAGCTGGAATAGAGTGAATGTGAAATTCTGTCTAATAAAATGGAGTGATATTAGAGCACTGTTCCCTTTAATTTTGGCTAGTGGCGCGCTGGTTGCTGCCTCCCTATGTGTGGAGTTCCAGCGGCAACTGGAAGTAAATGGGCAGCAACACTGATCTGGCAGTGTAGGATTGATGCAGCACCGTGCTCACGCAGCATAAAGGTAACACTGTACTATATTAGAGTTGTGGTAGGGATTTTTTTTTTAGCTTTGCTCATACAGGAAGGTTTTTGGTTCAACAAATATGTTTGTTTTCTGACAATCAGAGGTCATTCTACATTTGAGGTAGAACTGTTCTTTGGAATAGGGAGGCAAGACCTATTTGTTGATAGTAGAGAAAGATTGTTGTGCCTTAGAGTGCAACTGGGTAAAAGGGTCCTTTGGAAAGACTGAAGCTTGGAAGTAGCCCATTACAATTAAGATGTGTATTGGACTCATTGAAGGTAATCCCCCTTCTTTACTTGGCAACAGGTTCTTTCCTTGGTGCTGGGGTAAGTAAAAGAGATCCTTTTGCCTACTCTGCAGCCTTATTCAGACATTCAGAAAAAGATCAATTTGAAAGAATAGCAGGGAGAATTCTAGTCTTCTCCCCACAAATTGGTGCTATCCTATGGTGAGCCAGAAGGGATATCTGAAAAGGAAAGCTTCTGCAAGACACAGAGTCACTCAATGCATTCAGGATCCTGAACAGCCCTGGTTCCCAATCATGTGAAAAGGCCTCATGTGTAGCTGACTGTGTCCACGTAAGACTGTTGTTAGCAGACAGATGGAGGAACTAGAACGTTCTCCCTTTTCCTACTTTCAAAGTAATTCTTTTTTTAGCATATGGATATGGCTTAAGTCAGTTTTGCTTTTTCTGACTTCTGGAGGTTAGTTAGGGAGGGTGAGAACACAGACCTTGTTGTACCAAGGCTCAGGAAAAATGGCCCCTCTATTGCCTGTCCACATAAGTTCATATGTGTATAAGAGGGCAGGCCCCTCAGTGGAATGGATTCCGTAACACTCATCTATGTGTGTGTGTATGTGTGGGGGGGGCAGGCCCCTCAGTGGAATGGATTCCGTAACACTCATCTCTCTCTCTCT